TAAAGGCTATATTTGCTGCTGTCCACTATTTAAAGAGATCTCTCCAATATGAAATAAAGGCTATATTTGCTGCTGTCCACTATTTAAAGAGATCTCTTCGGTAAGAAACAATGGCTATACTGTCTATTGTCTGCTATTTAAAGACATGTCTTCGGTATGAAACAATGGCTATACTGTCCACTACTTAAAGAGATCTCTTCGGTATGAAACAATGGCTATACTGTCCACTACTTAAAGAGATCTCTTCGGTATGAAACAATGGCTATACTGTCTACTGTCTGCTGTTTAAAGAGATATCTTCGGTATGAAACAATGGCTATACTGTCTATTGTCTGCTATTTAAAGAGATATCTTCGGTATGAAACAATGGCTATACTGTCTATTGTCTGCTATTTAAAGAGATCTCTTCGGTATGAAACAATGGCTATACTGTCTATTCTCTACTATTTAAAGAGATCTCTTCGGTATGAAACAATGGCTATACTGTCTATTGTCTGCTATTTAAAGAGATCTCTTCGGTATGAAACAATGGCTATACTGTCTATTGTCTGCTATTTAAAGAGATCTCTCCAATATGAAATAAAGGCTATATTTGCTGCTGTCCACTATTTAAAGAGATCTCTCCAATACGAAATAAAGGCTATATTTGCTGCTGTCCACTATTTAAAGAGGTCTCTCCAATATGAAATAAAGGCTATATTTGCTGCTGTCCACTATTTAAAGAGATCTCTCCAATATGAAATAAAGGCTATATTTGCTGCTGTCCACTATTTAAAGAGATCTCTCCAATACGAAATAAAGGCTACATTTGCTGCTGTCCACTATTTAAAGAGATCTCTCCAATACGAAATAAAGGCTATACTTGCTGCTGTACACTATTTAAAGAGATCTCTCCAATACGAAATAAAGGCTATATTTGCTGCTGTCCACTATTTAAAAAGATCTCTCCGGTATGAAATAAAGGCTATACTGTCTGCTGTCCACTATTTAAAGAGATATCTCCGCTATAAACAATGGCTATACTGTCCACTATTTAATGAGATATGTCCAATATGAAATAAAAACTATACTGTCTACTGTCAACTGTCCGCTTTTTAAAGAGATTTCTCCGATTTCAAATATTCTAATATCTAATGTCAACTGTTTCAAAAAGTATTTTACACGAATAAATGACTAGTGTCTACCAATTAAAGAAACCTTAATAAAACAAAATCAAGGATCCTGTACAGAGATTAAAACATCTTTCCCATACAAAATAAAGGCTACAGTGAACTAATTAATGAGGTTTCTCTGATATGAAATAATGACTACTATTTACTTTTCGCTAAGTAGCAAAACGTCTCCAACTTGAAATTAAAATACTGCTTGTTTATTGAAGAAATCTTTCGGGTACGAAATAAATCTATTGTCTACTGTCTGTTAACTAAATAAATTACAGAGAACATTCGTCTTTATCTTCTTCTTGTACGAAATAAAACTATTGTCTACTGTCTGTTAACTAAATAAATTACAGGGAACATAAGTATTTATCTTCTTCTTGTTCGAAATAAAACTATTGTCTACTGTCTGTTAACTACATAAATTACAGGGAACATAAGTATTTATCTTCTTCTGGTACGAAATAAAACTATTGTGTACTGTCTGTTAACTAAATAAATTACAGAAAACATTCGTCTTTTTCTTCTTGTACGAAATAAAACTATTGTCTACTGTCTGTTAACTAAATAAATTACAGGGAACATAAGTATTTATCTTCTTCTGGTACGAAATAAAACTATTGTCTACTGTCTGTTAACTAAATAAATTACAGAAAACATAAGTATTTATCTTCTTCTTGTACGAAATAAAACTATTGTTTACTGTCTGTTAACTAAGTAAGTTACAGAAAACATAAGTATTTATCTTCTTGTTGTACGAAATAAAACTATTGTCTACTGTCTGTTAACTAAATAAATTACAGGGAACATAAGTATTTACCTTCTTCTTGTACGAAATAAAACTATTGTCTACTGTCTGTTAACTAAATAAATTACAGAACATAAGTATTTATCTTCTTCTGGTACGAAATAAAACTATTGTCTACTGTCTGTTAACTAAATAAATTACAGGGAACATAAGTATTTATCTTCTTTTGTACGAAATAAAACTATTGTCTACTGTCTGTTAACTACAATAATTACAGAAAACATTAGCCTTTTTTCTCCTCTTTGTAAGAAATAAACGTGATGCTAACTACTGAAGTCTCTGTGATATATGAAATAATGACTGCTGTAGCCTGTTCGCTTGTTAATCTCTGTCCTTTTATATGATTTAGGCTTCTGTGCTGTCTACTTTCCACTAATTACGATGTACGTATAAGAAGGAATAAAATATAGTGTTCACCAATTCTTTAACCTACATTCAATGTTAATTCGATATAAATACATAATCCGTCAGGATTTAATTATTATTAGTAATACAACCTGTCATTGTTACATCTAAACAGTTGCGCACGAGCTTACACGTAGGTGGTACACGTGTTACTAGCATTTTAAACAGAAACAAAACATAATTAACTTCATAAGTATACACTAGTATAGTGAGCAATAAGAATAAAAATGTTTAATAACTTGATATTTATATGCGGGAAATGAAAACGAAAAATGTGTAAGCAGATTATAGAGTCCTGATTTAAGGACGTAAGAGACTATTAAGAACGCCGATTCTGAGAACGAGCACATTTTAATGAATTTTGATCAGCTATATTACGGAGTACTGGGTAACCCATTTCAACCTCATTCCAAGAACTTATATATGACATAGGAATGACGTGAATAAACCTATGTAAACCGATAGATTAACAATAATTAATTAATAATTTTAGGTCTTACCTGACACCAAAAAACACTTAAGAAAGAAAGAAAGAAAAAAAAACAGGACTTAAAATAAGTCTTAATCGTAGCATTATGTCCAATGATTAGTCTGTTAGAAGTCTGAAAATAGTGGTTTCACTTACCCCCTGTTGTTGACCGAAACCAGTTTCAGAATCAGGAGACACAGCAGAAAAAAAAGAAGTAATATAAATTATACAAATACTACAATAAAAAATTAACTTATACATTAACGATTTTTATAATAGATATTTGAAAAACAGGACATTTTTAAATGTAGAAAAACTGATTATCTTCCTGTTTAATTTCTGGATACAAAGAAAATTGTGACATGCAGTATTGTTTACTGTCTACATTTATCTGCTTTTTGTTTCATTTCGGAGATATTCGCACAAAGCTACTCCAGCCGTTCCTAATTTTGAATTAATTGAATAGAATGGAAGCAGCATGTGAACAGCACCCACCGCAATCGTTGTAGATACTCTTGCCAGACCAGATAGTGGGATTTGACAATTACTTTTATAACGCAATCGCGTCTCCAAAGTTTGGAGCAGTTTTTTTTTGCGGTATGGGACGCGAACCATGGACTTTGTAACCACAGTCCGGCACGCTCACCACTAACACGTTTATCTGCATATAACAAACATTGATATATCAAAGCTATCTTTCAATAAACTCAGTAAAAACTGTTGAAAAGCTGTGCTGTTGAATAAAACCATTGACTCGACAGGTTCAGAGAAATTTCTAGAGATAATGACGACACCAGTAATTTGAATTACTTCATACATTGCACGGAGAATACCTTTCTTGTAGTTAACATTCAAACCGAATACTAAGATTCTTTTTCTTATATCTGTCGAGTTCTGTCAAATGTGACCTGTTTTATCTCCTAGTATGCCAGTGCGTCAATAATCAGACAGCACTTATACGGCAAGAAGACTTATAAGTCAGAATACACCCCGGTTCCCTGATTATCCCCGAGGTATATAGTAATTCTTATCGCCTCCTTGTTTATAATCACGAAATATTTTATCGTATTTGTCCAAATTCATCAATCACCCGATAACAGAGTACACTAAGACAGACAAACAAGGAGACATGACAATTGAATGATCACAACGATGAATGCCATATCAAAACAGTCTTGGATAAAACAAGAACAATCAATTACCAATACGTGTTTTAAACATTCACATTAGTATAGTATTTCAAACTATCTCCATCTACTTCTACAGCGACCCCAGGGGGGGGGGGGTCCGTACCAGAAAAAAAAACTCGTTAGGAGGACACCCACACGAGGTTCCTAAGCCCGTAAACCACGTTTGCAGGGTTGTCATCTTTTAGGAATCTGTATGAGAGAAATTACTGAAAACGTAAAATTTGGCGAGCAGTAAAGTGTTACGAGCGTTTAAGGCAGTCGCTTCACGGAGTCTGCGGAGACATGTCCCCCAAGAATTTTTTTTATTATTCAGTGTAGCAAAATGGTGCCATCTGGTACATTTCCTGGATCGATGTGATGGTGAATCTGACCTGGATCCAGTTGGTCAATCAACCACAATGCGTTACAGAAAGCTCCTAATTTGGTCAAAACATGAAATGTTTTGTAATAATGCATGTGCTCATGAGAATAGCCCAAGATGCGTGAATCTCATTCTCAATGGGTGAGTATTTGTAGCACAGCACTTGGTCCTGCTAACTAATGAGTTTCAAACATGGCGCCCTCGGTATCACCAGAGAATCCAGGAACACAAAATTCGGATTCAGCGACCTTGAAAATCTAATACTAGACCCCATCATGCCTGAGTGACCATCGACTGCTTCCTACCAAAGAAGGCTCCAAAAATGTGGGAGAAGATCGTGGATAAATACACGGCTAGCTCCAAAAATGTGGGAGAAGATCGTGGATAAATACACAACGTGAATTAATATAGATAGCAGTTTTGTACAAGAAAGGTGTAATCCTTGTCATAAACTCTCTACATTTAAAGAATTAACTAGAACATTATTTATCTCGATATTCTGATGTCTTAAGACCTCATACTACTTAATAAATAATAAAAGTGTACAGTTTACAATAAATAAGTACGGTTTAAGGCAGAATAAAATATTTAAAAATACGGTTTCACTTACGGTGATAAAGTCCTGATGGAGGAATGGAAGGTAAACATGAAAAAGACGAGAAAAATACAGAGTTACATGTCAGAATTATAAAATCTTCACTTCCATCTTATACAGCTAAATTATCGTAATTATTAAAACCTGTATTTAAAACCTAATGCAATTAAACAGTTGGTGTGATTTTATTTCAACAACAAAAAAATGCAAAATGCAAGTAATGCTAATATGATGTCATAGACCGTATCACACAAAAAATGGGTTATATATGAAACAAGTTTTCATTTCAATTTATTATACAGCTATGTTATCATAATTATTAAAAACTGTATTCAAAACCAAATGCAATTAAACAGTTGGTGTAATTTTATTTCAACAACAATAAAAATTCACAATGCAAGTAATGCTAACATGATGTCAATAACCATACCACAAAAAGTGAGTTATATATAAAGCAGGATTTAATTTCAATAAGAATTTCAAATTAATTTAATAGAACTTGTATATATATCAAATCTAATAATAGGGCCCCCTTGTTGAAGTTGTGAAACACATTCCAAAGAACAGACAGCAGCTGCTCTTTTCTTCTATAGCCATAAGGTAAGGATGTATGAAATCAAGAAATCCGTGAAGATCAAGTAAAAAAACAGAAGAGGCCTGACACGTGCGTTTTCTTGCACATGTTATATCATTACTCATTTTTGGCTGATAGTTCTTAATAAATGCTAGTAATCCAATGTTTTGAGTTACGAATATATATATATATGTATATATCAGGCGATTTCTTAGAGCGTAAAAAAATCTAAGATGCCTTGATTAGATATGTTCTTGTTAATTAACAAATGAAGTCGTAAACTTATCTTTAACGGTAAATAAAATAAACAGTTAAACAATATATATATTTTTAAAACTACGTACTGAAATATGTATTCTGTGACTGGTGTGTTGTTTCTTAGATTTTTAAGCATTGAAAAACAAGAAAATGTTTTAATAAAAAAAGGTAGACAATGAGCAATCTGCTCTGTTCCACCGCGAGGATCAAATTCCGAATTTCAACGTTATAAGCCCTCAAGTTTACCGCTGAGCCAACGGGAATTAGAACTACAGTTACTGATAAATATTTCGCGCTAACTACAGTTACTCAGCAGTATGTAAAATACTGCGTAATTGATAACTAAAAACGTACTTACTCACTCATTTTTCTATCATATTGGGTAAATAATGAACGACTCGTAATACATAATACATAACGTTTTATTTTATGGATGGTTATAAGACAGTGAGCTTGAATAATGGTTTACATATATCTAAACTGATTAGGAACAACTTTTTGAACAGATTCGACAACAAGGTAAGGTAACAGGTTGGTTGAAGGGTAGGTAGGTACCTGATAAATCTGTGGTGGGGATCAAATCAGTTGATTAGCCAGTACCTGATTATTTATTTACCAAGGAACACCTAAAACACTCACAAAAACGGTAAATAAAAAATGCGGGATGTTGTAAGTGAATCTGTAAATAACTAAATTTGACAGCAAAATATTTAAGTTACACAGATTTTATAAAGTTAAAAGCAAATATGAAAGGTTTCTGAAATAACTTATGGTGTTTCTCAAACGATGTGTAGCGACCCCCAAGGTTTTCAGGGGGGTCACGAGTTATCTGCGCCGAGTCAACATTTTTATTTGAGTCCTCGAGGCGTCTGAGAGGTGCACATATCACCTTCATCATGAACTAAAGATATGAACTGGAACATTATGTAGAGATAATGGGGGATGGGGGGGGGGGCACGACGACCAAAGCAGGGGTCGTCTGGAAAATCCGGCTGAGAAACACTATTGTAGAACAGTGTTTCCCAAAGTGGAAGCGGTGGCCTACCTGGGGGCAGTGAAGCTTTTTCTGGGAGGGGAGAGCGCCGAAAACAAAGATGCTGAATTAATTTTAATTCTAAATAAACAATAAGCCAACAAAAAGTATATCGAAAGGAGATGTTATTGTTTTCACTATGGAGCTGTTTTTAAATCACCATGCTAAAGTTATAGGCTGGGGATTTCAAACTTTTTGATTCACATCAAGGGAACCTCAGACTAAAAGAGTTGGGAACCACTGATGTAGAAGAATGGATCGGAGTGTAACGGTTTGGCTTGGTTTTGAATTTCGCGCAAAGCTACACCAGGACACATGACAAACCTACATATATGGATCAAGCACAGTGAATTGAGGGCCCATCTCCTCAATTCTAGAGAGACAAAACTGAAAAGAAAATGGCCTGCTGCATCAAAACGATATTAGTTTAACAAGGGGGGAGGAGGAGGGAGATTGAGTTGTCGTCTCACGTTTTCTCTACTTTTATGCTTTTTCTAAATATATATTCAGTTGTGGAGTCTCTTGTTTTCCTCATTTGATATAGATCTTACGTTAAATAGGCAAGAAAATTATGCCCCTTTCTAAATCCTGACATAGTCTAGACCTACAACATGACAACTTGAAACGAGTGCCACAATGAGAAAGCTAGGCCTAAATAGATTATGCATGCTGACTAGTACACCATCTGTTGATATTTGGTACTTCAAGTTCAGTGAGACTAAGTTGATCATTTCAGCAGCAGAAAACGTTAACGACCTTATTAAAATCAATATATTTTTTTACTGTGGATTGTAGTAATTACCTACATAGATTAACCTTCACGAACTTAATTCTATCAATTTCCCAACGATAAAAACACGTCCAAGATGATATACTGAGTAATTAAAAAGTTCGTACATACTTCTTGATAAGGCAGATTTTTGAACTTTTTTTATAAGGTGTATTCATAAATTACCATACCTAAAGACATTGTATAGAGCATTGAATATGTTGGTTTGGGGAATAACCCAAGCTTCCAATCGTCTAAAGCTTAATTAACGTTATTACAGTTGATGCTGGATTCGGATCGTTATTCTGAACTGTTTACATGTTACGTGCCACTTTCCTATGATTTTATCCCGTGTTTTGTTTTTCAGTCAATATTTTTTCTCACCAAAATTTGTTTGTCGAAGTTTTCAAAACCGTATCTGATAACAAGCATTGTTACACTGGTTATTATCCCAATTGAATTACTCCCTCGGTGGGTCAGCGGTAAGCTTATGGACTTCCAGCACTAAAATCAGGGGGTTCATTCCCCGTGGTGGACACAGCAGATGTCCCATTGTGGCTTTGCTTTAAAACAAACAAACAAAAAATCCCAAGTGAATTACAACATTTCTACTGCTAGGAGCGCTGACTATTTCGAAAAGATTTTGGTTTAATTTGAATTTTGCGCAAAGCTACACGAGGGCTATCTGTGCTAGCCGTTTCTAATT